GGTAAACGGTAAAGAGGCTATATAAATTTTGAGTAAGTGTCGCTAACAATAAAACGTTTGTCTCTTAAAGACAGAATTGATATTATTGTGGAAAGTGAAAAGTACTACTCTGTGAATGGAAAGATTGATATTGGAATGACAGAAGTTGACGAAATTACAAAAAACAAAGCTCTTTAACGAAGTACCCATTCCAAAATAAAAGGTAAAATTTCTCCAAATTCAAAGATTTGCGGTTGGCCAAGTAATTTAGTAGCAGTTCTGTTAAACCAGAAATAAAAACCTCTTTAATGAAAAGAAAAGCTTTGAAAACAGCGGAAAATAAAAAAAATTACGAATTTTTGTCTCAAATGCATGGATACAAAAATGACAAAGACAACACAAATTTTAAGACAAAAACAGAATTCTTGAAAAATGTCCAGCATAAGAGGATTTCGATGAGGAAAAACTAAATTCTGCTGGCTCAGCTTTTTCATTGCGATGGTTTGATCGAAAGTCCCAGTTTTGGCGTTGAAGAATCAGTGAATTAGTTGATGATACAGATTGTGTTACAAATAGTGAAAGAGTTTTTGAAGAATTTGAAATGGCAAGCATTAGATATATGAGTGAGGTCTATAAAAAACTTAAAAATGTGCAAAGTTTCCTATTTTGCAATGATAAAACTGGCTGAAGAAATTATTGCAAATTTTAGCAAAATATGAATCTCGGGTTTTACAAACAAAAATTAAAAGGTTAATACAACAAACTTCAATTGGAAAAATGTTAAAAAAAAATAAATTATATTTATTTTTTTATATATTTCAATTTAAGTTTGTTTTGTACAGTTCTTAATTTTTGCTTTTATTTATTTTTTTAACTTCTCTCAATAACGATCATTTTTAAAACAAGTTTTCGTAGCCCCTATTTAGAAATTTTATCTACTATACTCCAAACAACTTCATATCTAATTGATGAACTTGAAACAAATACTCTGCGGACTACATGTCTCGACCAGCAAGTAAACAAATAAGGTCATTCAACATCTGAACCTACCAAACATATACCAGTTTCGTACATATTAGTCCTCGTCAGTATGCCACTATGCCATAAAATAGACAAGATTCAAATAGTATAATAGATAGACTGTTGATATAATTCAATGATGTTTGGAGTATGTAGCCCGCCGAGTAGTTGTTTCCTGCAATATCATCAGTTAAAAATCGGTTCGCCTAGCGATAACGATAAGCCGTGTTCTCATAGTACCTACGGAACTGCAGGTCGCTCTCTGCCAGTGAGGCCATATTAAATGCCTGAACGTTGAGTAACAGTGACTATTCGTAGATGGAGTACTTTGCCATGAATACCTATATTAATTCAAAATTCACCAATATCTATAACGTGGATAAAAATATGACAATGTAGGCTGTCATCTCGTTGACGTTTCGATCTTCATCTCCCGCTTTTCCAGAAATAACTTTAGATAATCTCTGATCATTGTATATCTTTCATCTATTCTACGCATTTGCAACCTAATTGTGAAATGGATTACGATTTAACTAAACGCAGATTGGTTGCTAAGGAATTGGTTGTTATTAAGTGATTTATTTAAATTTAGTATAAATATCTTTTTATTAATAACTGCAACTTTTAATTTGTGACTTGTCTTAAAGATTACGTTCAAGTTATTTATTTCAATAGCTTTTTTTTAACAAATATGACCTATGTATTTTAAATGAGCAGTTCTTGTTATTGTTTTTTAATTAGCGGTTATTGCGAATCCAAAATATTATCATAAATATTAAAATTACTTGTATTTACCTGGATTCGAACAACAAAAGAAACTCAAATACGTGACAATCGACAGGGTAAAAGGTATTGATGTGATCATCCACTTATCAATTAATTTCCCTTCTGGGTATTTTCCCCACATATGATGAAATATTTCAATTAAGGCAGCGGCTACCTTGACAATCCATGGTCTTCCAAATACTGACAGACTAAATTTTAGTTACAAATAAACAATTTTTTAATTAATCATATTATAGGTATTTCTCTTATAATGCAACAGCATTAACAAAACGTTATGTTTCTAGACGACCTCCTATATCTAGGTATATCATTTTAAAATATCAAGGCAGAATTTCAAAACTGATTTGTAAGATAAGTCACATTATTGATACATTCAGAAAAAAAATACCTATTGAAAATGTGAGAAGATATATTCCAGCGCGTAAGAATTCAAAATCTACTAGCATTTTCAACTTTTGTAAATAGTAGCAAATAACACAAATACAACTTGTAGGTAATATGTTATTTTAATTTTTCAAAATTTAAATTTAAAAATTTAAAATGGGATAATATTGAATAATTTTATTTAATTTATTTTCATTTAAAGATAATAAACTTAATATTTATAATAAATAGTTTAGTTCGAATAAAATTTGTATTTTTCCAATTAAGGAAAAAAGGGTCTTGACTTTCTGACTATGCCAACGTTTCGATTTTATTTAAAATCACCTTCAGGGCTACACATAATAACAAAAAGATAAGAATATATATGTAGAACACATAGAACACAATTAAAATGATATTTAAAACATATTGTATTGTTTAAAAAACAAACATATATATTAAAATTATTAACTAAATTGTTGATCAAGCCTATATAATAAAAAACAGGTATCAAAAATATATTGAGAAACGGGGAAAAATCCTTACCTAACCGTACCTAGTGTCACACATAGACAAAATATTAAAATAATGCAAGCAATTAATTGAGTCAAATTTTAAAGAATTATTAGATTACTTTTGATTTTATAAAATGTTTCTATGAGAAAAGTTTAATATGTTTGGCCGTCTGCAAAGTAAATATTAAAATACAGGGTGTTAAAAAAAGAGTGTAAAATATTTCAGGAGGTAATAGTATAAGCAGAAAAGTTTTAATAAACATGGGTCCGCAAAGTAACGGTTGCGGAGATATGGACCAATATTCGTTTTCAAACATTTTATTTTATTAGGAATAAACCGACAAAGGAAGCTTTTAACAAACAAAAAACAAAGTTACAGAAGATGTTCAAAGTGCCCTCCGTCCATTTCCAAGCAGGCACGACATCTTCGTCTCAACGATATTCGAACTCTTTCGAAAACACCCTCCTTGGTTTGGATTTCTTGACACTTTTGATTAATCCGTAGCTGCAGCTCTTCCAGGCTATTTACAGGAGTACCATACACTAATGTCTTCAAATATCCCCAAACAAAGAAATCTAGAGGGTTCAGATCAGGCGATCTTGGAGGCCATAAAACAGGTCCGGCCCTTCCTACCCATCTATGTGGAAAAGTTTGGTGTAAATGCTCTCTAACGGCCATGGAAAAATGAGCTGGAGCACCATCATGCTGGAACCACATTTGTTGCCTCTGATTCAAAGGAATGTCTTCCAAAAACTCATACAGTGTGTTCTGCAGAAAGTTGAGGTAAGCAGCGCCTGTTAATCGGTTTGGTAAAACAACAGGACCTAGAAACCTGTCACCTACAATACCCATCCAAATGTTTAATGAAAAACGTGCCTGATGTCCAGATTCTATTAGAGCATGAGGATTTTCGTCGGCCCAAATATGCGTATTGTGAAAATTAAACACTCCATTTCTTGTGAACCCGGCCTCATCAGTAAAAAGAATGTTTGCAAGAAAACGAGGGTCTTCAGCATCATGACGTAGAAACCAGCGGCAAAAAACCAAACGTGCTTGATGATCATTTATTGGATTTAAGGCCTGTACTCGTTGCACATGGTATGGATAAAGCAGTTGCTCGTGAAGGATTCTCCAAACAAGAGGACCACTAATTCCTACCTCGGCTGATATTCTCCGCACACTCGTACCTGGATTCTGCTCTACCAGTGCTAGAATTTCTTCTTCTGCTCTAGGAGTGGATACCGACCTTGGTCTTCCGGATAAATGGCACTGTTTGCTCAAGGAACCGGTATCACGCAATCTTTGGTGAATTCTTCCAAACATGCGTTGTGAAGGAATCTGGCGATTTGGATAAGCGTCAACATAAAGACGTCGCGCTTCGGTGGCGTTCCCATTAGCACGACCATACATGAAATGCATGTCTGTTAATTCTGCGTTAGAGTAACCAGCCATAGCGAAAGAAAACTTGTGCACTGAGAACAACTGTCAAATACGTACTGTTTATTTCACTAAACATCAACCAACTATTATAAGAAAATACACAACGTTTTTGCAAAATAAAAAAAGGGGCTAAAAAACATAAAACATTCCGTATCTCCGCAATCGTTACTTTGCGGACCCATGTTTATTGAGGCTTTTATGCTTATTTTGGTTCATATTACCTCCTTAAATATTTTACACTCTTTTTTTAACACCCTGTATGTACCTAAGTTTGGAGCTACCAGTTTGTAGGAAGCGAGAAAGTAAACTAAAAAACGTTGACAACAAGAAAAGGATAATATGCTGGGTGTTATTATTTCATTACCACTTGATACAGTTATTAATAATGCAATTGTAGATGTACTTAAATTATCTGTATCTGATTTTATGAAATTGTTATGTAGTTTTATACATACCATCTCACTAACCATTTTTTTTTGATAATTAAATTCATTACATAAGATGTTTATTAAAATTATAGCTGTGTATAAGATGATGGGATGCTAATTATATTTGACCCTTTTTGTTGATATGTTTAGGATTACAAGATGATATGTGAAAACTAATTCCGTATTCTGTAATTTGTTTCGTTTCAATGGTTTTTATCATTTTTATGCATGAATATCATCTGCGAATTGTGCATTTTTTGAAATTTATTCGACGTTAGACATAACAGCATTAGAAATATAAAATAGCCATCTGAGATAGAGAATAGTTTTTAAACTGATGGTAAAAGAAATAATTAAGTATGCTACCAAAATAGAAAAGTAAGAATGAACTAATTCATCTCACCAATTATTTTCAGATAATGTTATTTATATTTAGGTGTTTTAATAGAGCTTTTACACTTTTTTCAGTGCATGGCCCATTCCTGGTACCTCCCTTGCGACTTCCACTACTTCATAATAGCGACTTTCGTCTGCCTGTTGGTGAAGAAGGACAAAAAATTGGGACTGGGTTCGATGGCCGCCATAACTATAGCCTCTGTAGTTGTTCCATTTGTCATCACCATCGTGTACGAAAGGCCGGCATTGCTGCACTTTTACCCAGAGTTTCTCACGGGACCGAAAATACACCCAGATTTTCAACTGACTTATACAAAGACACATACCAGGGGTACCCCGTATTGCATCGGGATGTTTACGGGTTACATCTACTATAAATTGAAAGGGTCTAACAAACATGTTTGCAGAGTAAGTATTTAGATTCCTGTTTAGCCACGTTTTAAGACACGTTTTGTAAAATTGTCCTCGTTGATCTGTTGCAATAATCAGTGACAAAATCGAACTCTTCAAGAATGACCTTGGGATTGTAAAGTTCGGTAACTCTGTATATGAAACATAAAACTGGCGTTCGCGTAATATTTTCTATATTTTGAGAAGAAACATTGTCACATGTAATTAGCAATTTGCTTGACACTTGTCCTATATAGGTTCAAAAATTTATTCTTCTGCCTGCAACATACCAAATAGTATACTTTGTCATGTATGATTTCTATAATGTTCTCAGTTATGCCAACAGTTTTTGATGAAATTCCCCGTATCGTCTTTTCATATTTTTCTTTTCCCCTCAAGGAATAACAAAAATTCACAGTTTTACCGTCCATGTATTATTTTTTATTAAAATACTGAGCTGTTAATATTTAAAGGATTGAAACAATGATTTTTATACATAATAAATCATATATTTCTGGGAATGAAATATTATTAAAATAAAAGACAATATTTTAATTTTATTCCCAAAGATATTATGGATATCAAAAAATTGAAGAAAGTACACTTACTTCATTTAAAATAATCCATTTAAAAAGTAATATATATATAGTAGTAAGAGAAGAAAATTCTAAATAATCTATTCTTACATTAAAAAAATACAAAAAGTACAAACCCAAGAGACCCACATATAATTTCCGAAGGAATTGGATGAGCTGAACACAATCTTGTAAAGTTCATGACTTGCTGATGAATTTCGGAGAAAACGTAAATTTTTGGGTGAAAACGCCCAAATATGTGTCAAAACTGATTTTTTCCTAAATTTTATCCAAATATATAATCTTCGTAGTAATTTGAGGCGCTGAACACGATGCCATTGGTAAAATTTACCGATGACCTCGATATTTCCCAGAAAATCCACTATTTAGGTGAAAACTGACCCAAATCTGGGTCAAAACTGATTTTGTCCTAAATTTTATCTAAATACATATATCATTTTCGTAGAATTTTGTCCGAAAAATCTGATTTAAACCGGGGCTCTTTCCTAAAGTTTTGAAAACGCTGAATCCAAATCCGCGCTCAGAATTGCTCCATCACGTAAAATTTTAGAAATATCCTAACCTAGTAAGAAAAAACACGGGATTGCTTCGGTATATATGAGGTTATATTACATCAAGAGGTAATTTTTCTTCACAAAACTCATTATGGGATCTAAAAGTATTACTCTTCTTCAAAATCCATTCTGAATTGATCGAATAACTCTTTTCCTCTCTGAGAAATCATTTCTTAAAATTGATTAGTCTTCCGTATTTATCAATATTCGGAAATTTCAAGATAAATGGGGTCAATTAATTTTCAAAACTATAACATGTTGTCCTCGTTTCAACATTTTTTATATGTTCAGTAATAAAGTAGTACTTCAAAATTTGTGTTTAGATTTTGGATTAATTGAAAATATTTATTTAATCTCTTCCATTTTTTCCTCCAAATGTTTTTTTCCTTTTTCTCATTTATTTGATTTATTCTAATTTTCCCCACAATATGGGAGATTTTCTCGGTATGGAACCATTACATATTCTTGTATCTTATCACTATATCACTATGCGATGCCTCTACAGCGTTTTGCTGACATTCACTGCAGATTTACCGGCCTTAAACGACGTAATTCTTCTGCATGTAAATGTCTGAGTTATTAAAAATAGTTTTACTTAGACTTTTTTCTCAATCTAAATCTTATGTTACTTATTCTACTTATTCAAATATAATATTTTCTGGAATTACGACAATATTAGAGTTGATTGATCTATATCCAATCGTAAAAGCGATATGACAAATTTTGTTTATATCAGTAATAAATTAAATCCCTTCAAGTATTTCAAATAATGATGATCTTAGCTTACCAATGACATAACAAAAGTGAAAACTCTTTCATTATTATTAACAATTTACTGATGCGTGGTCAAATTGCAGCAAAGAATGCGATGAAGATTCTATAAATAATAACAACGTATTTAGGTATTGCTAAATTCACATGGGTTATGTGATGATTATATAACACAGATTTTCCAATTTAAAAAAATTGTAAACATATTTTTGTTTTTTTAACTAATGGTGTTATGGGCAATATTTGTTTATGAAAAATGTGTAGTTCAATTGCAATCATTATCTGAAAAAGACGACATTGTTTACATGTACAGATATGTTAGTACGTATTTGTTTAAAAATATAACAATGCAATTGTGATAAGAATAGTAAATTCCTTATACATTAAGTTTCTTTTGTACTATTAAAAAATCATTATTTGTTAGTGACCTAACACCCACACACGATTCCATTTTCAACAACACTTATTGGAATCCTTCCAATTTATATGCTTATTAAGCGCTCTGACACTTCACTATGGTGGAGCCTTAGTTGTATCCGTTTGAGTATACAGGGTGTTTCATAATTGGATGTCAATATTGAAGGGTGTTAATCAGTGCGTGATTTTAAGACAAAAAGTTCATATAAACATAGGTCCGTTTTCGCTTTATTTTCGATATACAGGGTGATGAATATCTGTTTGTAAAATTGTTTTTTTTTAATAACTCCGAAACTAAATTAGATAGTTTTATAAAACTTAGTATGTGTAAACTAGGTGCAGAGACACGTCTTTTGCATAATAAACGAATTTTCATTTTTAACCAGTGGCGTCCCAATTAACTTCAACCTCATTATTTTGAATGAAAAAAATGATACGCCACTGCATTTTTGAAAAACAAAAATTATTGTATAAATGGTGCTTTATTTTGTAATAAAAAAGATCTCTTGAGTTTTTTTCTTATCTTGCACTGTTTTTTAGTAAAAAAATAAAGAACAACAATAATTATCTGTACGTGGAATGAAGTACTTTTTACACATTTTATGGAAATAATTCTTTTACTAGATAACTTATACACATTATTGTATAATATTATTAATAATTACGATTGACGATCAACAAATAACAATTTTGTGAAACGAAAAAAACAAACAATTACATCAGTTGTTGAAAATGCCCTCCACCTGCAAGGATACATGCTTCAGCTCTTCTTCTCATATTAGTGCGGACTCTTTGAAAAATGTTGTCAGTGTTCCTTATTACATCACAGGAAGCTCTTATGCGATTCCTCAGGTCTTCTACAGTGTTAACCGGAGTGTTGTAAACCAGAGTTTTCAGATGCCCCCATAAGAAGAAGTCCGCACTATTCAAATCTGGGGACCTGGGGGGCCATTGTTGGGGTCCACCACGGCCTACCCATCGGTCATGAAATGTGCGATTTAAATATTCTCTTGCTTCTCGATGGAAATGAGCTGGTGCACCATCATGCATGAACCACATTCTATTTCTAGTTAAAAGTGGCACTTCTTCAAGTAATACGGGCAAATCCTCCTCTAGAAACCGACGATATGTACGGCCGTCTAGCCTTTGTGGCAGAAAAAAAGGTCCAATTAAGTGATTTTCAACAATTCCAACCCAAACATTCACGGAAAATTGTTCTTGATTGTTAAAGTTCACAATTGCATGCGGGTTTTCTTCGGCCCAAACATGATTGTTATGGAAATTTCTTATAGCGTTTCTAGAGAAGTTAGCTTCGTCTGTAAACATTATTTCACAGTCAAACAAGGGATTTTGCGCAATTTTCTCCAAAAACCATTGACAAAAGTTGATTCGCAAAGGAAAATCTCGAGGAAGTAAGGCTTGGACCCGTTGAATATGATACGGGTATAACAGAAAATCGTGAAGAATTCTCCAAACTAGAATGTGCGAGATATTCAAGTTATTTCCAATTTGTCTAGTGCTAATATTAGGATTTTCATCAATTGAATTTAAAACTGCTTCTTCAACTTCTGGAGTTCTAGTAGTCCGATGGGCACCTTTTAATTGATTATTTGGCTTAAAAGTACCTGTTTCAGCCAACGTTCTATGTATGTTTGAGAATGTTCGTCTATCTGGTGTGACTCTATTCGGGAAACGCTCTTGATATAATCGTTTAGCCTCTGGCGCTCTGCCATCAGCCAAGCCATACATGTAATGAATGTCTGCCAACTCTTGATTAGTAAACTCAACCATTATCAAATAACACTGTACAGGTATTTTAAGTATCAAAATTGAGTTGAATGAACTGAACTGTCAAAATTAATAAATCACAACAGTAATCAACAACCACAGCCTACTAGGTAATCTTTATATCATGCTTTCTGTTTGGCTCAATGTGGGTTAGTATGTTGTTCTTTATTTTTTTACTAAAAAACAGTGCAAGATAAGAAAAAAACTCAAGAGATCTTTTTTATTACAAAATAAAGCACCATTTATACAATAATTTTTGTTTTTCAAAAATGCAGTGGCGTATCATTTTTTTCATTCAAAATAATGAGGTTGAAGTTAATTGGGACGCCACTGGTTAAAAATGAAAATTCGTTTATTATGCAAAAGACGTGTCTCTGCACCTAGTTTACACATACTAAGTTTTATAAAACTATCTAATTTAGTTTCGGAGTTATTAAAAAAAAACAATTTTACAAACAGATATTCATCACCCTGTATATCAAAAATAAAGCGAAAACGGACCTATGTTTATATGAACTTTTTGTCTTAAAATCACACACAGATTAACACCCTTCAATATTGACTTCCAATTATGAAACACCCTGTATACTAAGCAACAAAAGAACGTTTCAAATGCACTGGCGCAGGCTTAACATATTATTGGAACACTATGCAAATTGAAAGACACATTATAATTTCTATGCAGAGAATACACACAATTTTCTTATCGGATTTAGAAGTACGTACTAAAAATTATAGTTTGGTATATTTATGTTAGTTAGTTTGATCATTATAACGCCTATAAAGTAATCGTCATGTTTATTAAATTATTAAACAGAGTAAAAGAATCCCACTTTGATAAAAATCACCTCAATGTATTTTTTACAGACCCAGTCGTTTGCCATCGTAATGGGATCCCTATTCCTCATGCTCGTATCTTTGTTCAGCGGAATGGTGTTCTACGACCCCTACCACTCCTACAATTCAGTGGAATCAGCAGCTTACGCGGCCCTTCACAGACCGGCTTGGGCCTTAGGCAGCGTGGGACTGATATACGTGGCTAGTTTTGGTCACGGCAGTTTCCTGAAGAAGGTCTTGTCTTGGTCGCCGTGGATTCCCCTCAGCAAACTGGTTTACGGCGCCTACTTGACTCACTTTCAGTTCCAGTTGCGATCCGCAGCTGTCTTCAAGAACCCGAAGCAGATCGCCTACTTTGATGTGGTACGTAGTAAGATAAAAATTTTTGGTTTGCTATTACCGTTATTTTTTATTTAGTATTCACGAAGTCCGGTAGACTTTCGAAAGCGATTAGCAAACTAGATCATGATATTTTGTTACTTGAATGGTGAATCTCACTTGTGATCAAGGTTTCAGCACGTGCTGCAATATCATGACATTTAGTCGAATGACCTTCGACAACCACAGATGTGCCGCTAGATTCCAAATTAGGGTCACTTATTTTCACGATATTTACTAATGACATTGTGAGTTTCTGCCACTGTTCAAATGGGAATAACAGCCTAGATAATAATTGAGCCCTAACCCTGATAAATGAAGCGTTTTGATCTACACAAAGAAATCTCAGCCAATTACCATATTGAAGGAAATGTTTTGAATAGATCGAAAAATCAAGGTGATCTTGGTCTTTATTTTTTGACACCAAACTGAGTTTCTAGAAAGAATTACTTCTTCTGTTAACAACAATTTTGAATTTGTTGGAAATTGTAAGGAATTTTCCAAAAGAGCATACCATAACTCTTTTATACAATAGCTTTGGCAGGCCCAAGTGAAGTACTATTTTTTCTGAAATAGAATAGAATTTAGTGACATTCAAAGGCAATTTATTCAGATCGCTGACGCTACACATTGATAATAATCATCAACAACACAGAACAATTTCAAGTCGTAGACATAGAGCAAAGAGTTTACATTACATGTTGGCAGCAATATCATTAATTAATAAACTAAAGAACAAGAGTCCCAAGGCGGAACCTTGAAGAGCGCCAGAGGTTTCATCAAATTTAACAGATTTGAGGCCAAATATTCCATGCTTAATCTTAGCCCTAAACATCAGATGTTTGAATTGTTGTATACGAACCAAAAAAATGTAACATATCAATAAGTTTTTACATAATGACAAAAGTGTCAAGAAGGAGGTATATAGTGGACAACAACTTGGTCAAATTAGTACCATTAAAAGGATGGTCACCAAATAATGGAAGAGAATTCTGAAAACTCATTAATGTTGTCTCGTGAATGTAAGGAATTATCGCTTGGAATGGTTTCAAATCGAAAGCTTATTGAAAAAACCTTTGTTACCAATGACCGAATGAAATTTTTCTTTAGAGACGATTATTTTAAATGTTCAAAAAATTTTATTTTTTATTTTCAGTGCAAATACATGTACAGGGTAGCCCATCGAAAACGTACCGCAAGGCATTACAGGGTAGTAAAGAACTTTTCGGCAAAATCCAAAAACAGGTGAAATTTGTTTCTGAGGGGGTCAACTTTTGGCTTAAAGAGCATACCAAAATCTTCAATCCCCTAAGTGGGGGTGCTATCCCCTATATTTTTTCAAATGGAAATGGGGGTCAAGTGGGGGGTCATTAGAAAGGGCTTTTAATTCTCTATACATCGATTCTTACTTTTTGAAAATCGATTCATTATTTTAGAAAATATGCAGCTTTGAAAATACGAACAATATTTTTGACGAGAAATGCGAAAATCGATTTAATTTTACTTCAAAACTTACGGTATTAGTCAAGTAAATGCTGAAAATGTTGTCCGCCAACTTGCATACAATGATACAGGTTGTCTTCAAACCGTTGTCGAACATTCTGGAGCACTTGCGGTGTTACTTCGCGACATACATTAATGATTCGTCCTCGCAGATCTTCCAAGGTATCAGGTGGAGTGCTGTAAACTTTGCTTTTAATGTGCCCCCAGAGAAAGAAATCTAAAGGATTTAAGTCGGGTGACCGAGGGGGCCACTCAATTGCACCTCTTCGTCCTATCCAGCGTCCTGGAAACGTCTCATTTAGGTAATTGCGCACATTGAGCGAGTAATGTGGAGGAGCTCCGTCTTGCTGGAAAATCAGTTCGTGTTCATTGTAAGCAGGGTCGTCCTCTATGATATTTGTTAGAGCTGGGTCGATGACATTTTGTAGTAAATCCAAGTACATATCGCCTGTCAAATTTCCAGGAAGGAAAAAAGGACCTACAATGGAATTTCCAAAAATACCTGCCCATACATTCAACTTCTGGGGGTGTTGGGAGTGTGTCTCATGGAAAATCCTTGGATTGGTATCAGCCCAGTAACGACAATTATGGCGATTCACTAAACCATTCAAGAAGAACGTACACTCGTCCGAAAAACACACATTAAAGAGGAAATTATCGTTTATCGCTCGTTCAGTCATTATTTCGCAAAATTGCAAACGACGATCAAAATCGTCTTCATTTAGCTCTTGCACTAGCCGAATCTTATAAGGATGGAATTTGTATTTTTTTAATATTCGTTGGACACTTGTACGACTCACTCCTGTCGCAGTAGCCAATTGCATTGTACTCAGCGTACTATCCATTGCCACTTGCCCCAATACCGCTATTTCCGTAGGTTCATTTAGTACCGGATTTTCAACCTGCCTCTTTTTGTTATGAACGGAGCCAGTTTCGCGAAATTTGGCCACCAATTCGCGAACAATTTTTCCAGACGCATGTTTCTCAGGATGCCGTTGGTTGAACAGTTCGGCGACCCGATTTCCGCATTCATTGTTTTTGAAAAAAAGCTCAATAATTTCTACTCTTTCTGGAATTGAGTACACCATAATTAATCAATTTAAAAGACTCGGCAGTATTGGTACTCTTCAACTACAAGTCACAAGACAGTTATCTAGCAACTTCTTGTGGCCTATCTAAATACGAAACAAAAAGCGGACAATTTTTTGCTCACCAAAATCAGGCTAAAGAATTCGCAAATCAAAAAAAAAACAGCGAATTCTTTTGAAGGAATTTACCAAGCTAATACCGTAAGTTTTGAAGTAAAATTAAATCGATTTTCGCATTTCTCGTCAAAAATATTGTTCGTATTTTCAAAGCTGCATATTTTCTAAAATAATGGATCGATTTTCAAAAAGTAAGAATCGATGTATAGAGAATTAAAAGCCCTTTCTAATGACCCCCCACTTGACCCCCATTCCCATTTAAAAAAATGTGGGGGATGGCACCCCCACTTAGGGGGTTGAAGATTTTGCTATGCTTTTTACGCCGAAAGTTGTCCCCCTCAGAAGCAAACTTCACCTGTTTTTGGATTTTGCCGAAAAGTTCATTACTACCCTGTAATGCCTCGCGGTACACTTTCGATGGGCTACCCTGTATAGTGAATGTAATTGCTCACTATTAAGAACAATGATTTAGAATAACTTGTACTACAAAGTAATTAAATATATAATATTTAGAAATAAGATAGAGAGAATATTACGTAAATGTCATACAGGTTTTGTTTTTTTATTGAATTTTTACATTTTTTAAATCAACTCATTCTTCTGATTACAAGATGACATAATATGACATCATACATTAACAAAACATCCAGCTACTACTCAAAATGAAATTTTGACAGTTGAGTTAAATTTTCATTGGCAATGTCAAAGTTTACATAACTAAAATCGCTGTTTTCCATGAAAAAATTGAATTGATAATTTGAAAAATCTGGCTTTATTTCATGTGAAAATTACACTTTTGATTGTTTGAACTTTGATATTGTCAACAAATATTTAATTGAACTTGATTGGAGTAATAATTGAATGCTTTGTTACCAATGCAATCTTGAACTACTGATTTAACCGGATTCATATCTTTCCACAATTTTTGCGTGATTTAACTCTAGACGCTCAAAGTTTGAAAGAAATATTAATTACAAAAACTTACGAAATTATAAAAAAATATTATGAGGCAAATGATTTTCTAAAATTAATTGTAACAATAGAGTATTTAGCTCTTTCATTATTAGGAGCAATTTTTTATTTTAATTATGTATTACTTAAAGAGAAACATGTTATAAGTTACATTAATAAAACATAACCATTAAAATATTAAAACACTCATACATTATAATTATTCGCAGTATTACTCAATTAGACTGAAATCATTTAAGCATATTTTGCAATGGTTTTCACATTTTTATATAACACTTATGTGCAAATTTCGAATAATGAATTTAGACAAGTCCACATAACTCATAACCATAACATTTCTTCAAAATACTTTCACAGACACTAAAACAAGAAATGTGGCCTATTCTTTTGGTCAGACCCTATTTTGGTTATATTTTTAGATCCGCCGGACACGAATCTCAAGTCAATTTTGCGCCAGCACCCACTATTTTTTAACAAACGCTTCCTAAAATCATCCGAAAATGTGAATGTTCTTAAGGATTGTAATGTTGTGGAAATCCCTATATTTTCGAACCAGCTGAACATGATTCTGGAAACAGGAAGGAATAAGAAGAGGTATACGATGACAGTTAAATGGACAGTAAATACGAATACCATGGGATGAAAAGAAACGGTTAATCAGAACGAGTTAGAGAATTGAAAAAGAAAAAAATTCTGTCTGAAGGAACCAAATCATCGTTGTATCGATCATGTGAAACAAGTTCTCGGACTTTTCTTCAGATGAAGAGGATACGTTGTTGTATTGTTCCGATTTTAGAGGCTTAAAAGAGTTAAAACACAACGATTATAAAGACTACGAGTGGAGGTTATTCATTGACTCCTCAAAAGGAAGCCTGAAGGTAGTTCTTCTACGTAATGCATATAGGTTTGCTTCAGTTCCAATAGCATACTCAACTAAATTGAAGAAGTATGTTTGAAGAAAGAAGACATTCAGAGCACAAATGGTAAATTTATGAATATTTCAAAATAGTTACTATTATCTTAGAACAGCAATCACTATTTACTAGATATTCCGGTTTTCTGTGTTTATTGGACGATAGAGATAGGAAGATGAGCAAAAAACTTGTCCTAACCAAGGAGATCTGAATCCAGGATCTTTACACGTTACTCAAAGGTTTTTGCAAGACCAATCCAAGGTTCTGCTTCCTCCACTAGACATAAAACTTGGATCAATGAACAATTTGGGAGCTTTGGACAAAGAAGATGAATGCTTGGAAAATACATTTCCAGAAATGTGATGTGGTATAATGGAGGAGTACTGTTGGATTTTGAAAAGAGAATTTAAGGTTATAGGTAAAAAGAAGACAATAAGGTTTCCTACAAGCGTTGGTTAAAAAAAACTATAGATTTAGACTACAAGTGCCTAAATCGCATACATCCCTAGTATATTTGTGACACACCCTATTATATGCATGAACTAAGTGGATTGACATTTTTTCAAAAGTAGTCGATGCTTACGCCAAACTGACTTCAAATTCATGTTCAGCGCTTCTGAAATTATGCGGACTGGTGCCAAATTAACTTCAGATTCATATTCAGCGAGTCCGAAAACTTAACAGATTATGTAAAAGAGAACAGACCTTTTTTTATTTTTTATGCCTGTGAAATTGTTCTTGACTAATCAGCAAAAAATTGATTTAAAAAAACAGAGGAAAGCCTATAATCGATTTTGAAAATTATGTTTTTCTTCTAGTTTGCTCTAGCAGTGGCTGACGCTGTTCTAGCCTTCGTTGCTGCCTTGGTTCTCTACCTTATGATCGAAGCGCCTTTCAGAAAAATATTCAGAGAACTCATGTTCCCGTCCAAAGACAGTACACCTAAAGTTGTGGCCGAGCACCCCACAATGGAGGAAAACATGATAAATAATAACAACAACAACAACAATAACAATTGCCAAGACAGTAGACTTTAGCTTGTAACTAGATAATAGTGTTCAATAAACAATGCATATGAGAACATGTTTGTACAAAATAAGTCTAGTTTTGTACAGCTGTGGACAAAAAAAAGGTTCCGGCCTAAAACGTTTAAAGATGTTTAAATTTTCTTTTCCAGGAATCTTTGAAATTTATGTTGGAGACTTTTAATTGATCACAGCTGTACATTTATGTAGAATGATTTAAAAAACTGTTGACAAACTTTTACGGTGGAAAATACATTAGACACAAAGTGGTAATAGACATGGAGTATTTAAAACCTCCTTGGCAAGTTTAAGTTTTCTTCAAATATTTTTGTAAGCCATTTGGATCTTTTTTTAAGAAAATGACCTCGTTTTTCTTGCATAACTTTTACCATTTTACAAGTTAGACGGTACATTCAAATAAATGTAGAATTTATTCACCTAAATAATTTTATTTAAATGTGTCCAAAAAGACGTTCCAGTAGCTTGGCATAATTTTTCAGAAAACTAAATAAAAATGAACATGTCTTAATGTTTTCACGTTGCAATTCAATTTTAGTTTCAATATCTTCACTTGTGCTTAAGCTATTTAGAATTACATTTTCCTTGAAAACTATAACGCTCTTTATCTCGCTAAAAAGGCGTCGAGACGCTAGTTTATTAAGATTTTTTGTCTCCCTTTCCCATGTACTTTCCACTCTAGAAGTATGTCCATGGTTTTCTTAATCAACCTGTATAAATTTATCTCTTAAAAATACTTTTTAAGTATTAAAATTGACAAATGCTAAATTTTATTAGTATTTGCTATACATAAATAATATACAAGGTGTTGTAGTATTCCGTAGATAAAATTGTACAGTTAATTCTTTGTCCAAAAGTAAAACATATGGACAAAAGTTTGCAAAAGCATCATTTTTTAAATGAAGGGTGATACAGATTTAGTAGGTACATATTTTTTTAATTATCCTCTTTTAATTTACATTGTTTTCTTTTTAAAGATAATTGGATCAAATTCAATATGCACAATAGTTTTTGAAGATCGAGGTAATATACAAATTATATACAATTTTTACATTACCAAAATCCTCTGAGTTGTCTTACGTTTTTAGTCAAATCAACACTGATTGTTCTCCTGGAAAAAGACAGCAATTCTGTTTAATTCTTGTACTTTTTGATTTTATGAATGTTTGCTGTATATTTAATTATTTCAAAGATATTTGTTAAAATTGACTCAAGCAAATTTGACATTTTGTATGTGGCTTATTGGTAAGTTTTAAGCAAATTTGTAACAATATATTCAACCACCTGTAAACGTGAAAATAATGAAACTAAATAAAAAGTTATAGAACTGTCACATTAAAAACGAAGCGTTTGCATATCTACTTTCATATGAACTTTTTTCCCATTTTTGACCAAAAAATAACCTGTACAATATCATCGGTGGAATATTGCAACACCCTATATAATCAGATGAAACAAAAAGAATAAATATTTGAAATTCTTTGTCTAATTCAAGATTTTTTAATTGCACTAAATAAGTTATATTGGTGTCATACATCTACTAAGGTGCTTATTCACAACATGATGTCTATTATATTTGTTTATACATTTTAATAAATATAATTAGGAAATAAATTGTTCTTTTATTGTTTTCAGTCAAATATAGATTTTTCCTCTTAAACAATATTCGCTTGTTATTTAGATTATTATTAGTAGTACCTAGTTAGAAAATTGTAATGAATAGTAGCAATAACCGCACAGTTATAGTAATATGACAATAACTAATCCTAGTTATGTTTTTTTGTAGTTACTATTTTCTGATCTTTGCAAGATATGGCTATTTCAGTAATCAGAATTGATCAAACTACAAAACGTCGCTTGAAACTAATAATAATCAGAATTGTTAAAACTTATTGAGAACTTCTGGAATGGTCCCCGACTTACATACTACATAAAAAGAGGTGAATAGTTGTAGCTGTAAAATGCGCATCGTCCAATGTTTTGTTATTTACTTTTTGTGGAAACAGTGCACTTGTGATATACGTATTAAAAGTGAGAATAAACGTGTTAAAATCGCCCGTCTACAATGAATTAATGGGAATAGTAATGACGATAGAGACGCTGATGAAAATTGTAAGTTATTTGCACATCTGTTGCACATACTTAGCAATTTCCAGATAGCAATACACCAACACATGGAAACATAAACTATTTCTGGAGTCAGTGGTTCTAAAAAGTTTTCATCGTATCACTGTGGTAAGTTACTAAAAAATATTCTGCAAATCGAATTTTCGCTCCTCTATTTATTTTGTGATCTAATATCGTCCCTTTCTATTACAGTCAAAATATTGTTTAAAATATTACGTGAATCTCTGCAGACATCTGTTATGGCAATAAAATAACTAAACATTAAGGAAATACTCAAATCTCTCATCCAACAGTAACTTCGACTAAAAAAATGGTAATTATGAACATGTTTGTGATTAATTTCAGCCATACCCTGACATCTTAGCGATGGTTGCACGAGTGGTCGATTTCTTCTATTCAAAATAGTCGGAGTAACTAATATTTTCAACACCGAGTCTCTATCACTTAACTGGGCCACAGTGGCTCAATCACTAATTAATCTTATGTAATTAAGTGTTCGTACTGTGAGTGCAATAAGCGAAAGTGTGGCTTGGTTTCCTTACGCCTGAACGAAATGAAAGTACGGCGCTGATTATTTTATTTCTCTTTAGGTCAATGTTGGTCAATGTCAAGAATGATGTAACGGTCTTGATTATTTATCAGATACGTGGCTTGTGTAATTTGTTTGACGCATCTTCTAGTTGCAACTAATTGAAATGAATTTTGTTTTTAAACCGACTTTAATGTTTTGACACTGCTTAACTAGGTTTTTCTAAAAATAAAATTCTCGAATTATACAAAATGTACGGTTTATACCTCAAAACAATATGAACTACTTCCATTATTTTTTCTAGAAAAACCATCACTTTTTTGGGACACTTTAAAAATGATCACGTTATTGAATGTTATTAAGAAACAAGATTTTTGGTACAAGATCCATCTAGTACTTACATGTCAGATGATCTTTTCGCTTTCTATTTAGAACGTGCTTTAGACCTTGCAAAAAATCTTACTCAACTGTTATTTTTAATACAGTGTGACTAGCGATGCAAATATTTGATACCTAATTAGACATAAATCTTGTATAAACATTGTGTATTTCGCGACACTCTGTACATGCTGTAACAATCGAGTATGGAATGACCTTTCAAAATTCGTGGCTATCTGGATGATCTATAATTTTTCACTAAACCTTATTTTGGTTATGGTTTTTGAATTATTTAAGAAGAATAAATTATTTTTTGTATATCTACACCATCTACTGAACGATAACGGACTCGCAAACTCAGAATACTAAAATTCCAAAGAAAATTTCGCATTATTTGTACCCACTTAAAGAATTCGGCCTTTATATTCTGTATGGTATATTGTACATAAATTAGTGAGAGAAGAACCACGCCTTTTATTTTTTAACTACACTTTACACAACTTCTAAATTAACTAAGAAATTCTGATAGTGCATTTTTATTAAACTTAAAAGTGGATATCCAGTAACGTAGAAAGTCAAAAATTGTTATTTATGTAGCAATGGAGATACAGGGATGATTATGCCATACAACGTTTTATTTTTTACTTAAACATTTGAGTTTATATTTATTTTAAATTTAATAATTAAATGTAAATGAAAATAAAAACAGTTTTTCAATATATAAACCATGTATCCAGAATGTATCTATGATATCCGCAAATTTGTTGATGTTTAATTCTGAAGAGACATATTGAAAAGGCAAAATGGATAATATTCCAGCAATAGTTGCTGCTAGAGCCAATAAAGCCAATGAAGAATTACTACGAAGAAATCTAAATTACTTTATGATAAAGAATACAAACATTTTGAGACTTGGACATGCAGAAATTCAGTGACAGCTGTTAGTGTATTAACTTTTATCACTTTAAAGAAATATTTATAATTTTTGATAATTTATATTTTTACATATCTTTTAGTCAGAATCATTCATCCTTAAAACATTGTGGACAAAGTATTCAATGTTGAAGACCACATTAATAGTGCGCATAAAAGTAAATATAGAGAATAAGAGAAATAAGACAATATCATGACTGATTAAAGACTTATTTGAAGCAAATATCGAATGGATATATTTAAAAAAATATAAGATATTGACAAGAGAGGATATTTTGAAATTTATTAGAGAAGCATCAAGTCACACATATCTTTTGGAAGAGGTAGTATTGGAAATAATTGGCTATATTATTGCAGGTGCTTAATAGGTGTTTTTCCACTACTAGTCCACCATTATCGACCTATCTTTGACGCGTAAACTTATATTATCTTTTTTCTTCAAGCGTATAATAATACTTATATTATATAGTGCAACACCTCCTTTAGAAGCAGCCTATTGTTTAACTAGTACAAATATTTTTCATTTTTTAACTAGTAAAAAAATGTAACAATGTGTAGGTAAGTATCCTAGCAACGAATTAAAGATTCAAGAAGCTTTGACGTTTCATTAAGTGTCAGTTGAAATTTGATGTCGCGTCGGGTCGTTTTTAAAATGTCTGAAGAAATGCAGTGCACACCACCAGAATTACTGGAAATTGCAAATACATCAGTGGCAACACTTATACCAACAAAGTCGAGAAAAATTTATGAAAATGCTTATGATAAATTCATAAATTGGGCAAAAGAAAATAATGCACATATTTATTCAGAAAATGTGATGATAGCATATTTTACAAGATTATCCAGAACACTGAAAAGTTCAACTTTATGGGCGCAATATTCAATGGTAAAATCTAAATTAAACATAGAACACAATGTAAATATTGAGAAATATTCAAAATTAATTACATTTTTGAAACGACAAGGTGAAAATTATAAACCAAAAAAGTCGAAAGTTTTGTCTAAAAAAGAATTTGACGAATTCCTGAATAAAGCACCTGATGATAAATATTTAGCAACCAAGGTATGTACTTTTTAAATTATAGGTAGATATATATTTAACCTTTTTATATTTGTAATACAAAATTTTGTTATAATTTGTAAACTTCAAGTTATTTTATAGTATCCATTACGAGAATAATAAACAATTTTCGGAAATAAAGATAGCTCATTGGAAGAATGTTGTAAAAACTCATAAATATAGATGTCTTAAAATTACGTCATGTTTTAGAATTTCCTTGCATTTTCCAACTTTTTTTATTGTTACAAAATTAATAATTCTATATTTTTTAGGTTGCACTAATATTTGGAGTCACAGGAGCTTGTAGATGCGATGAACTCATTCAAGTAAAAGTTAATGATGTAAAAGATTTGGGAAATATAATATTAGTAAATATTCCCAATACAAAAACTAAAAAACATCGTTCATTTACCATAATTGGAGAGTTTTATTTAAATTTATACAGAAAATATGCTACTCTTCGGCCAAAAGACATAACTTTTGATAGATTTTTTATTAAATATCAAAATGGCCATTGTCATCGTGTTGTAATGGGCATACATAAAATTTCAAAAGTGCCAAAAGATGTTGCATCATTTTTAAGGTTGCCAAATCCACATGAATATACGGGGCATTGCCTTAGAAGAACCTCGGCAACTATCTTAGTTGATAATGGTGGAGACATTACAACCCTAAAGCGACATGGTGGATGGAAATCTACCAGCGTCGCTGAAGGATACATTGAAGATTCTGTAAACAATAAGAAACAGATAGCGATGAAAATATTAAACCCATTAGAGTATAATGAACCAAGTACATCAAGCGAAACTGTAAATATTGATCCTGAAAATAATTTAATCGAAGACTTTTCTGTTAATAATGGTACAATTGTTAACACTGAAACTGAGAACCTTATTACAAGTAACGTATTCAACGACAGAACTGTAAACTTTGAAAAAAAGACAGCCAGCAGCGCTTTAAATATCAACAACTGTACCATACAAAATTGCACATTTAATATTCATGTTAATAAATAAAGTTTGATGATAGACATGTAGGTAATTTAGATGTTTATTCGTTTAATTCAAATTAAAGAAAAATAATTATTACATTAGTTTTTTTATTCATGAATAAAGTGGTTAAAACTGTCATGTTTAATTAATCAATAAAATGTATAAAATGTATAAAATAAATAGTATTACCTACCTACTGATTTTATTTTGTGCTGAGATTGAACACGCTTGAAGAAAAAATAGTATATGTCACACGGAGTAGAAGGCTCATTATGTGTTTTGCCCAATTTGCTCAGCCTCGGCTGACGCCTCAGCGAGCAAACTTTTGGGCTCAACACAATATAATGATCGCCTTCTACTCCTAGTAACATAATATACTATTTGAGAATAACGATGACCTTGATTTATTGATTTATTAACCAAGGTAAATAATGAAAATGACATTTAATAATTTTGACACTTGACACATAGTATTTTCCAACGTCAATATTTTCTTTTAATTTTAGGGTTGCCTTTAACATTGAAAAAGTATACCATAGACTGGATGCCTTTTTATTACTCTC